TCTATCTATCTATCTATCTATCTATCTATCTATCTATCTATCTATCTAGTGATGAGGACTGAGCAAGTACTCACGGTTTAGCTACATCCTTAGTCCTCTTTATACATTGATTGATTGAATGATTGGTTATTTGTTTTTTGACACAAGGTTTTATCTGTGTAACAGCCCTGGCTGTCCTAGAATTGCTTTGTGGACCAGGCTGGCCTTGAACTCACTGCTTCCCAAGTGCTGGGATTAGAGGTATGCACCACCACACTGGCTATTACATTTAATTTTGATATAGGGTCTCACTAAGTTGTCTAGGCAGGCCTTGAGCTTGCAATCCTTCTGCCTCAGCCTCCCAAGTAGCTGAGGGTACAGACTTTCACCACCAGGCCTGGCTTGCATTTGATCATTTATAAAAACTATTGTAACCAACAAACTGCTAATGTATCTAAAGCTACATTCAATTTTCAGATGTTACTTAGTGTAGGTAAAATAGGACCACAAATGCCAGTGAGCCATTCTCCAGAAGGAAACTTATAATGAAAAGAATGTTTTCCATATTAAATTATAATCATGTTATCTTATCTTTTCAAAAAATATCTGTGTGCGTGCATGTGTGTGTGTGTGTGTGTGTGTGTGTGTGCGCACACGCACGTGCTCGCGCATGCGTGAGTATGCGGGTGCCCACAGGTATGAGTGGTTCGGAGCTACCTCTCTGGGTTGATGGAAACTGAACTCTGGTCCTCTGAAAGACCACTTAGGTAGTCTTTACCACTGAGCCATCTCTGCAGTGCCTTTTGCTCCCTTTCAAGCTTGTCAGACTGAAGTACTAAATTCTTACTCTCTGTACTGCGCCCTTTCTTATGCCACTGGAGAACAAGCATGAGCCTTGGACTCGTGGAGCAAGCGCACTGTCAGTGAGCTGATCCTGTCCTCCCTTCTCTCATTCTTTTCTTTCTTCTTCAAGTCTCTCTTCCTACTTTTCACAAACACTTTTTTTTGCTTTCCTCCTGCATGGCTTTTACAGGCTCTTTCTTTCTGTTCTGTAATGCTCCATGTTTTTTCTCGACAGAAACCATTTAGGTAAACCTAGTGCTGGAGTCTCAAGAGCACTAGGTTTAACACCATGCTGGAGAGATTAGCCACCATCTTAGAACCATCAGAGACTCAGAGCTGGCATAACCAAATTGGTCTTGACAAAACACACAGGTTAACTAGCTGAGGTGTTTGGTCACACCTAAGCCATGCCTTAAAAGGAGTAACTGTCGGTGGCTTCTCTAGTCCAGATGGAGCAGTCTGGACTATCTCTCTGCACAGTGCAGTGTTCCAGCCTGGGTGAGGTTCATGCAGCTTCTGGCAGGATGGCAGCAGCAGGCTCCTGTGGTTTGCTTGTATGCGCTAGGTGTGAGTGGAGCCTAGTGGGGCTTAACTGTGAGTACCTGAGCTATTAAGCTCTTTTGTGGGATACTAACTCCCTCCTTTGTACACCACTAGTTTGACAGTTAGAATCTACCTATCTTAAGTAACCACGTCCAATGACAACTTCCATAAATAGGGTATTTTATTACACAAGTTATTCTCTGATGAAGACAATTCAAAGAGGCAAAGAATGTGCTGCTGGTGACTGTGCTAGAGTGGCCTGGACCAGAATGCTGAGCATGTTGGGTCTGCTTTGTAGTCCCTGGTTGTGAACACATCAGACCAAACAAACAAACAAACAAACAAACCAATAAACAAAGCTCACCTTTTGTCATTTTGGAAGTGTGTGGAGAAATCTCTGCAAAGGAGAAAAGAGAGCGGAGTCAGTGTTGGGAGTCCCAAGAACACTAGGTTTTCACCATGCCGGAGAGATTAGCTACCATCTGAGAACCAGAGCTTAGAGACTCAGAGCTGGCACAACTAAATTGGTCTTAGCAAAACAAGCAGGTTAACTTGCTGAGGTATTTGGCCACACCTAAACTATGCCTTAAAAGGAGTAACTGTCAGTGGCTTCTCTACCTCACAGACCACAGCTCCACACTGTCAAATGCTCCTGCCCCCCCGCCCAGCATGCATGCCAATAAGCCATGGCATATGTGAGAGGAGGGATTTCCTTTCTGGCTATCCCTATAGTGGGCATTGTAGAGACAAGTTAAGCATGATGGAGGCGACTGGGCTACTCAGTCAGTCCTGGCTTGAGCCCAAGTGGCCCAAAGCAAATGCAAACATCCTCCTGCAAGATTCCACCCCAGGTCTCAGAATTCTCCAGGTGAGGAATTGGCCTGTCCTTATGCAAAACTCAGGCTAACCTGTTATCCTGAGGGAAGTGGAGGCTGTAGGCTCCAATGTTATTGTTCTTGCAAGAGATGGGGCTCGGGAGGACTCATGACTGCCTGTCTCTGCAGTTTCTGCGGAAGCTGGTTGGGATGGTGTCAGCCTGGAGCCAGGCATAGTAGCTGTCTCTGTGGCCACTGTGGTATCTGATTTGGGAGGCAACTCTCCTGGCTCTGCAGGAAATTCCAAGACAGAGACGTGAAAATTTACACTAGTGCCTGGAACACAAGAATCCACTTTGGTGAGCCTGTCCTGGCCAGCCCACTTCCAGAAAACTGTCCCCTAAGTAGATAACATAGCCATCCACTGGAAGATGGTCCTTGAGATGACTCTAAATAATGAAGTCATTTATTATGATGCATTAAAAAACAATACAAAACAAAACAAGAGATGTGTGCAGATATGCCTGTTCTTTGAAGAAGGTATGTTTTATTCTCAAAGACTTAAGGCCAACACATAAGTGAAACTGTATTTGCCAAAGACAGCTAGAATGTTGGTTTCCCTTTCAGTTTTGTTGTTTCTTGAGGCAGAGCTTATTATGTATCCCTAGCTTCCCTGAATGCCATAGGCAGTGTCTGAGGAGAGTATTATGATGTAGTTCCTGCTGGCATGGAGGATGCCTGGATTTAGATTCCTGTCTTCCTTGCTCATCATTGGCAGATGGATGCCCCTAAACTGAGTGGCCTCCCTGCTCCCTATTCTCCATTCCCTTCCCACTGAAAATGAGTCTTCCACTGTGGCGATTATCTAGCCTGGAAAATGCTGGGAGGCTAGGCATCTTGGCGTTCCAGAGGCGTTGATGTGTTCTGTTCCCATACTCTCTCAGCCAGGCATCCACCGTGTAAGAAGTGCTCATAGCTTTCAATCCATTGGTACTACTCATGTGTGTCTCTCCCTCCCCAAACTACCACACCCACAGAGCATTCACATCCAATCACCCACGATCACACCAGTTAGTGTCCAAGTTATGACTGCACATTTTTGTCTCAACGAGGAACATCTGAGAAAGCATTTGGGACATCAAGGAAAGGCTGAGAGAGACTAGTTGATCATTCTTGTCTCTTGAGTAAACACTGCGTGAGTCATTCCAAAGGAAATTGGGGATCACTTCCATCTTAAGTGGGTCAAGTTCCTACCACTTTTTTCTGTTTATATGCAACCTATTCACCAGAAGAGACCCTCTTTTATTTTATCTTATCATTATTTTTTCCTAATAGTACTGGAAGTTGAACCTAGAGCTTTATGGCTGTTAGGAAAGCCTCTGCCTCTTGAGTGCTGGGATTAAAGTCATGCATAACCACGCTTGGCTATAAGTTCTGAGTCTTATGTGTTCCGTTGCGTAGGTTTGCAATGACCAGCAGCAGTGGGCCATTGTATCTTTGATAGGGTCCTAGATGATAGTATTTGAAATTTCCCCAGTATTCCTACCTTTTTCAGGAAGGGAAGGGCTCTCTGACTGTGGGGTTGCCTTTGGCGTCACTACTGTGGAAGGTGACACTGGACTCTGGTGAGGCAGGGAGGGGTCTCCTAGAGAGAGAATAGTCACATGGCATTTATGATTTTGAGGGCAGAATCTGGGGCAGTTTCAGAACTGCCCCATAAATAAAAATTACCAATGCATCAGTGTACGTTTATTTCTGGCCTCCTGGGGCAAAGCTAGAGGCATAGGAAATGAAAAATCAGTTGCCCAACTCAAATGCACACCTGTAAGCTGCTTTTCTGAAGATCAGTCATCAAATGTTTTTGCATAGAATGATATATGTGGCATTAATTAAGTTTCATCATACGAGTTTTTCATGGGGAAAATAAACTATTACTCATCAGAGTTCATTTATTTATGGAAAATAGTCAGTGCACAAGAACTAGGGAAAAACAATGAAGGGAGCTGCTGGTGATAAAAAATGGCCAAGGAGTAAAACCTTTGGACCAGATGAGACTTAAAGATCCCTCCAGCCTTTGGCTTCTGAAATCCTGGTTACAGGGCTAGAGAGATAGCTGTCAGTAAAGTGTCTGTCACACGAGCATAAGGATCTGAGTTCTGATCCCCCACACTCATAAAAATTAGGGCATGATGGCGTAATTTGCAGCCCCGGTGCTGCTGAGGAATGGAGGAACGGAGACAGGCATCTCTACAAATCTCACCACTCAGCCAATCAGTGAGCGTTCAGTGAGAGACGCCGTCTCAAAAAACAAGATAGAGTGACAGTGGAGGAAGGACATCCTAAGACAGACCTCCAGTCTTCACACACACCAGCACACGTGTGCACACACACATATATGTGTATACAAATATAACACATATGTACATACACATAAACAAGTACACACACATATTTCAAAAAGAGAAGAAATGAGGACGTGGTGGGCAAATATTCTTGCCATCAAGCCTGGAGACCTGAGTACAAATCCCTAGGCCCAACATGGCAGAAAAAGAGAAACAATTCCTGCAGATCTGACCTCCATACACAAACTGTGATGTCTCTTCCCCAATAGAATAAATAACTAAGTGTAATTTGAAAACATTCTGATGGCAGTTTCTTCCTCCACCTCCTCTTGCTCCTCCTCTTCCTCCTTCTCCTCCTCTTCTTCCTCTTCTTCCTCTTCTTCTTCTCCTCCTCCTCCTCCTCCTCCTCCTCCTCCTCCTCCTCCTTCTTCTTTTCTCCTTCTCCTCCTTATGGTCCCTATTCAGAGCAACTTTCCATCCTGGATTTTTTCACCAAAGACTGTAAGGGTTTGAGGAAACCTGAGTGTTTGGATCTGGAATGTGACCTCAGGATCATGTTCTAAAGGCTGGGCACCCAGCTTGTAGCGTTTCTTCAAAGGCTATGCAAGGGAGCAGGGTCTGTTGAATGAAGGAAGTCACCAGAGATGGGCTTTTGAACATCGCAGCTCTGCCCTGCTTCTGCCACTGTTCTCTGCTTCCTGATCCATGTCATGTGAAGAGCTAGCTCTTCCTTACATTCCCACCACCACGACTGAGCCTCTTGGCTTTTCCTTCTGTGTGATGATGGACTGTGAACCAAATCATGAGCCTAACAATACTTTTTCTGCCAGGCATTTTAGTCATAGCAAAGCAAAACTAACTGATTCACTACATTTCCCAAGAATGCAAAAGTGTCGGGTTTCCATTTCCAGTTCCAAAAGCTACTATTTGACTTTGGTCTTCCCCAGACTTTTCCAAAACTTCAACTGCAGCTGGAACCATGAGCCAATTTGCTTTTCCAGCTCTGGGTTTCCTGTGAACTGCTATCAGGGCTCTCTTCTGCCCTCCCCTCTGCTGAACTCTCATGCTGAAGCTGGGTGTGTATGGGGTTGGGGCTGGATGGAGAAGAGGGATGAAGGCCATCTGGCAGCCTGAGAGAAAGCCTGGCTCTTCCAGGAGTTCCCAGAAGATGGGTCTAACATTTTGACATACATTCTGGGTGACTGTACTAGCTGCTGCCATGTACTGGATACATTGTGGATGATTGCTTGAGCAGTACTCTCCTGGAAGATTATGGGCTACTTTTTATTTTTCTAGGGAGTAGAATGAGGATTAGTATGCTTGAAAGCACCACCAAGTAGCTTTCACCCCAGGAATGTTGACCTTCATCCAATTGTGGGTGATTTTTATTTTTTAAGTCAGTTCTTACAGTCATCATTATTGTTGTTGTTATGTTTTGTTTTGTTTCCAGTCAGTGTTTCTTTGTGTGTCAGTAGTTGTCCTGGCACTCACTCTGTAGACCAGGCTGGACTTGAACTTAGAGATGCATCTGCCTCTACCTCCTGAATGATGGGATCAAAGGCTTGCATCACTACTGACTGGTATTCCTCCCCCCGCCCCCCCCTCATTGTTATTCTTGAGCATTAATTGGACACTACACTGGTGGGTAGGAGAAGGATATTCTATTTGTTAGGTTTATCCAACTTCCTGGGTTCTTAGGCAAACAAGAACAGCATATGTTTTCCTGTAGCCTTATGCCTCGTAAAAGTTCCAAAAAGCTCACTGGGTGGTGAGTTTGAGGACACACCCTTGTCCACAGACAACCTGCTACTGTCAGCCAAAACAAACACTAATGGTTGTAATAGTTAACATTTACCAGGTTCCACTCAATTCTATAAACTACTGCTGACATCAGGTTCATTTTCTGGGTGACCAACCAGAGTTCCAAGAGGCTAAGGAATGCTGGGCATAGTGACATATGCCTTTAATCCCAGCCCTTGGGAGGCAGAGGCGGGTGTATCTCTGTGAATTTGAGGCCAGCCTAGTCTACAAAGTGAATTCCAGGACACACAGAGAATCCAGGTTGGAGGGGGGAGGGGGAAAGAAGCTAAGGGTTTTGCCCAAGGTCACAAATATGCAAGTGGCAGAGCTGGGACTTAAATCAAGATTGGATGACAGAACCCACTGTGGATGTCTGTATTCCCATCCTAGGCGGGGGTGCTTCATGCCCCACTGGTTTAGTTAGCGCTGTATCTCAGAACAGGCCTCTTTGGCTCCCACAGCTCCCACGCTTGAGCTCTGCTCTCTGTTCAGCCTTGGCGGGAGGCGGGGGAGCGGTGCGGAGACTGGCTACTTACTGATGCACTTGAGGTTGGGAGTTGTCCAGTGGGCAGTGTTTGTGTTCTTGTTCATCACACACTCAGTCAAGGTGGATGTGCCAGCTTTCCGCTTGAAACCAGAGTTACAGACATACCTCTCCCAGGAGTTCACGCTGTAATTCTTGACCCGAATCTCGGCATGCTCAACGGATATGGGGGTTGGACATGTGGTGCCTATAAAGTGCATGAGATGAGAGAGATGAGAAGACTGGGGTTTCCTGGGTGTCCTCAGGGGAACACAAGAAACAGGTTTGTAGCTAGGGTCGAGCTTACACCAGGGACTCCATCAGGTAGACACCAGCTCGTGGGTGTGATAAGAAAGGACAACACAGGTATCCTAGACTTTCCTCTTCCTTGGCAGTCTGCACAATTCGTAAGAAGCCTATGAGGTTTTGTCAGTCTGCCCTTCTGGATGTCTTCTGCTTTGGTTTCACATAATCAAAAGCTGCGCCGGTCTTTGATTCCCCCTTGCCACTCACCATGACCCCTCCTTCTTCACAACCCGCTACCATACTCTTAGCTGACTATCTCCCATCATTGTCCCTTGCAGACTGCCATATTTACCTGCCAGGAAAGCCTTTATTTGCTTGCTGGTAACCTTATCCTACAGTTCCGTGATCTTCCCCTTTATACTCCAGCCCCGTTTTGTACTTTCTTTTCTCTTTATCTTTCCTGATCTCTGATTACACAGTGCTTGCCTGACTTCCTTTTAGAACATTTTTTTACTTAAGTTCAACTGTTAATTTGAAATAGCTTGACTGTGAATCCATTTTTTTTTTTCCAGATTGGGGGATTAAAAAAAAAAAGATTTATTTATTATGTGTACAGTGTCCTGCCTGCATGTATGCCTACATGCCAGAAGAAGGCACCAGAAATCATTCTAGATATTTGTGAGCACCATGTGATTGCTGGGAATTGAACTCAAGACCTTTGGAAGAGCACCCAACCCAGGCTGGGGGATTTTTATCAACAAGTCATTTTACATTTTCTAAGTCTTGAAGTATTCTCCTCGAGGATTCTTTCAACTCTTAGCATTCATTGCACACATTGAGATAAAACATTCATGACTTTCCTGGAGAGGCTTTAAAGTGGGGAACGTGTTAGCAATAGTTACAATGTAGTAGTCATCAATGGCTGCCTGCTGGCACAAAGACAGTTGCGATTCTGAATGTCTCAGAATCACAATCTGGTGATATAGTCCCAGAGAAGTCCTGGAGAGCTATTGCTGTTCACTCTACAATGGAATCCTGCAGAATAGCATCAGAGGAATGTCTCAGAAAAGAATAGATGAATTTGCCAGCCAGCTTGAAGGCAAGCAGACACAAGACAAAAGCTTCCTTCTTCCACATCCTTTCGTGTGGGCTGCCCCCAGAGGTGTGGCTCCGATGATCCAAACAAGAAAATCCCTCAAAGGTGTGCTCAGCTGCTTGGATTTTAGTTGATCCCAGGTGTAATCAGTTGACAGCCAAGATTATCCCTCACAAGTGCACACCTTGCCAACTCCGTTCAGTCACACCCCCTTTTGTCATGCTTCATTTCCAAACGAAAACAACAGCCAGGTCATGATTCCACTTAACATTATATAACTATTCCACCTCTAACTGCAAACACAGTATTTAATTTAGAACAGGTGAAGATGTCTCTTGCAGGATTTCCCAGGTTACAGAAGCACAAGATAAATTTTGGCTTTCTAAAAAAAACCCTGCAAGTCTCAGGTATTCTATTATTGCAACAGAAAATTACCTATGACTAGGCCCTCTGAAAATTCCTCCTCCTTTTTCCTCCTCCATCTCCTTTTCTTCTTTAGTGCTGTGGATTAGGCTCAGGGCTTTGCACATACTAGGCAAGTGTTCTACCAGGATTCTTTTCAAAAAAAAAAACAAAAAACAAACAAACAAACAAAAAACCTCCAAGACCCATTGACAGTTCAGGCCAAGACTATCAGTTAGTGAGGACATTTTTCTCTAGTTATTCCCCAGATGTGGTTTTCATAGTGCTGACTTGCCACCCCTTTTTATAAGCCACCTAGTCCCACCTTTCAGAGTTCCCTCTTCCATGACCAGGGCCTGGTGCTGTCAATTCCACTTGTTCTGTTTGTGGAATTTTAGCAGTAGCTTTGTTTCCCAGGGCTAGCTCATCATTGCCACGTGGAGCCCTTTCTCTGCTGTTTCCTGCCTCCTGTCACCTCAGGTCCTCTTTTTTCACCGATGCTCAAAGCCCATAAAAACTAGCTGGCTCCAACCAGAGCTACTGAGCTAGTGGATCTGAAACAAAGCCCAGGAATCTGCATTTTTAAGTCCCATATGGTACAGGTCCAAGAACCACGCTTTGGGAATTTGCTGTCTACAAGTGCAGCAGAGCAAATGGTGTTTTGTTTACGACACAAAGGTGAGCACAACAGCCTGCTCACACCATCTCCAGGTCATGGCACTGATTCCATCATTAAGGATTTCTCTTATGCATTCTTATATGATCTTTCAAACTTCTAGTCTAAGGTTTTAACTTTTAAAAATACACTTATTGACAGACAGTGGTGGTGCACTCCTTTAATCCCAGCACTCAGGAGGCAGAGACAGGTGAATCTCTTGTGAGTTTGAGGCCAGACTGGTCGACAGAGTGAGTTCCAGGACAGCCAGAGATATATGAAGAAACCCTATTTCAAAAAAACACATACACACACATTTATATATTTGCCTGTGTGTGCATGTATGTGTGTGTGTATGTGTGTGTCTGTGTTTTACCACAGCACACATGTGGAGGTTGGGGCAAGCTGTGGGGGTCAGTTGTCTCTTTCTATCATGCAGGCACTAGGGGTGGTGGTGGTCAAATCAGGCTTGGCAAGTACCTTTACCTGCAGAGCCATCTCAATGGCTATCTATTAAGTGAATCTTACTCTTCCTCCATCTCTAAAATCCATATCCCACTGTGTGTGAGCCATGTGTTTAGCTCAATGTTTCCAAACTTTTAAATCTTCATTTGTGGTACTCGGCCGTAGGTTACATTGTTTGGAAAATGCTTAGACCTGGAGTAATGGTGTGGGGTGGGAAGGAACAATCATAAAAATCAATTCAAATAATCTTGAGAACATTTGGCAGGAGATCAGAATGGAAAATCCAGTGAGAAATACCAGGCCTGATCTTTGATAAAATGTTCCCTCCTTCTGAACTATGCTTGGACCTTTGGACCTCTGGCAGAGCTATTACATCATCTTTGGATAAACAGTCTGTGGCCATAGATCACTATCTCCAGAGACTCCTGTGGTTCCCAGGAGGAAAGACTAGAGAGAGGCATCTGGATGAACTATCCTTTGTCTATTTTGCCCCAAGCCTGCTTCTTAAAGTTATTGTCTTGTCTTGGGCCAGCAGGGGATCCTGTGAGATCAGACAGTTTGGTTTCTTCCCCCAGAGAACTGGCAGGCCCTGTCATGGGTCGTTTCGAAACCTTGGAGGCAAAGGAGCCTAAGAACCCCTTCGTCGAATGGGGCATTTCTGCCTTTTGGAATCACAAAAACATTCTTCATGGAACACTCTTCCTGAAGGCTGATATTGCTGTGAGCTCTGCTTGGTCCTTCCACACATCTGGAGCATTCCTGCTCCTGGAACATGGTGTACAGGGTATAGCAGATGAACCAGATGGACACAGCTGGGAATGATAGACATTGTTGTCTAAACTGCAATGGCTGAAAAAATGCTGTCATGAAAAAGTTCAAGGATGAGCAAGAATTAGCCAGATGAATAAGGGGAAAGCAGGGCAAGCAGTTCAATCTGGTCAACAAGAACTGATACATTTCCAGAATATTCCTGTGAGAGGACTCAGTCATTGTGGGCCTGCAGGACATGCTCACTGCTGGCAAGTTGAGGTGTCTCCCCTCAGGGTCAGTATCTTGTGAAGCCTGCCTGGTATGATGGGAGTTTAAAAGCAAGTTGGAGCCGAACAGATGGGATGCAGGGGTTAAGAGCAAATACTGCTTTTCCAGGGGACCTGAAGTTAGCCTCCAGCACCCACATCAGGCGGCTCATGACTGCCTGTAACTCCAATTCCAGATGACCTAACATTGGCTCCCTTGGGTATGGACACAGCGTCTACACATGGCACACACTCACACAGACAGATATACTCACACAAATAAAATACGAAACAACAACAACAAAAAATCTTAAAAAGAGCAAGGAAATGAGTAAATGATGAAAACAGAACAACAACTAATAGAAAAAGAGGAGTAAACTAGAAAAAGCAGGGAATGTGGACCTTGAGTCTATTCATCCTCATCTGTTGATGCTCCTGCATCCTTTCCTTTGATGTCAGCACTGCCTGCACTAAGTTCTGCCCCAGCACCTCTCTGCAACCCTTCTTTGCTTTTGCCACTTCATCTACTCATCTGTCTCTCTATTATCCTCCTGTATTTTTATTTTAATCACACATTCTCCCCCCCCCCCCCCACAGTGGGTAGAGTGCTCAGCAATCACATATGAAGCCCCGGGTTTGATCCTTAACTCTGTATTAAAGCCAGGTATGTTTTTTGTTTTTTGTTTGGTTTTCTGAGACAGGGTTTCTCTGTGTAGACCTGGTCCTGTAGACCAGACTGACCTCAAACTCATAGAGATCTATCTGCCTCTGCCTCCCAAGTGCTTGGATTAAAAATGTGTGCCATCCATGCCCCACACTTTTGTCTTTTGAGTCAAGGCTCCTCTGTGTAGTTTTGTCTATTCTGGAGCTCACTAAGTAGACCAGGCTGGTCTCTAGCTCGCAGAGATCATCCGTCCTGAGCCTCCAAAGTGCTAGAATTAAAGGCGTGTGAGATTTGCTGCCGAGCCTTAAAGCCAGGTGTGGTGAGGTATGAAGCGACTCCAGCACTAAGGACATGAAAACAAGAGGGCCAGAAATTCAAGGGCATCTTCAGCTACATAGCTGGTTGGAGGCTAGCCTGGGTTACATGAGACCATGTCAAAAATGTTACCCCCAAAATTCACACTCTTGTGGTTTCCTAAGCAGGTGCTATTTATTTCTCAGCATATTCCTCCCTAAGTCTAAATCAACATTTCTAACCCTTCCTTTTTGTTAAAGTAAAAAAAAAAGTTTATTTATTTATTTTGTGTATGTGCATATATGTGTGTGTGTGTGTGTGTGTGTGTGTGTGTGTGTGTGTAAGAGAGGAGGTTACTCCTGCCGTGGCT